GGCAACAAGTCATCGTTAGCACAGCCAGGTACACAAGATTCGATAAAATGGCTCACAGCCCACAGCAGTGCACGGTCTTTCTACAATTTGGCACCCTGACACTGCTCATCCCTGGTTTCTCACCGCGTCTTACATTATCACTAATTACTCAGAATGTGGCATCAAAATTACCTGATCATCGGCAAAATTCAGGGAATTCAGCCAATCTGCTTTGGGCTGGTCCGGCCACTTGATAAGGGCAGCCCGGACCAAGAACTCTGCAAACCTTGGACAAATGCATGGAACAAGCCCAAAGACAAATGCATCAGTCAGATAGTCTCTGCCGAGGAACTGATGTCGACTGAGAACAGTATCACATCGCACCTGAAATACAATCAAACTTCGATTAAACCTGGCTCCAGGCACTTTAAAGAATTTCAAAAAATCAAGAAAACACTCAGATCTCGCCCAATTGACTGACCACGTGACCAAGTCACAAGAAAGTTTGCCGTCTCTTCCGGACGCACAAAGTTCGTCTGTTTGTAGAGCTCAGTGGCTTTGGCCTGCGTATGGCGAGCCCAGGCAACCAATGGCGAGCCCAGCAACCCCCAGGCCACGCGAAGCGGGATGTTCATCATAATTATGATCATATCTGATTGTGCGGCCCAGCCTGTGTGAACGTCACCTTGTCAAGGATGTTGATGCCTGCGTTCCATTGGCCAATTGAACGTGACGCAATCGAAGAGAAGGCTGGCTGCGCGGGTTGGAACAAAGCTGAGAAGGCAGTCAAAGCACGCCTTGACTGAACAGAACAAGATTACAAAGGAATACGAGAACCAACAGTTGGAAAGCCAACAGCGATGCTGATCATCATATGCAAATAAATGTTAGATAAGCACAACAGCTTCAATTATTATATATAACAAAAAAGATCGCAGGATGCTCAAACAAGCGCTTTGACACAGCGATCATCAAATTCCGTGTTACATCGGCCGCAAACCTTATCATTGGCTTTAGCTTGGCAATAGAGGATCTATCCTGTGGCTTGAAAACCCCACAACTGTAGATGTCTGGAGGAATTCTTCATGAACCCCTTTGGACCACTGACCTCTCCGTTCTCATCCCCTTTGGTCTTCTCCTTCGCGGACCGACGGCCTCGCCGGTGTCGTGTTCGGCTCCGTTTCGGCCGCCTTCGGGCGGGGAGCCGAGAATCCGCAGGACCGAGCGCCGGCTCACGCCAAACCTGGGACTGCTCACCGGGGCGACCGGGGCGGGTGCCGTCCACGGTGGGTGGATGGATGGCTGCATGGTGGGTCGTCGGAGGTCGTCGGCCTGCTATGCCATGAAGTTCATCCTTTGGACTGTGTATGAGACAGGTTTATATAAAAGGAGCAGCAAAAAGAGAGTTGTTCAAGTCAAGAAATGCCTTCGAGAAAAGGACGCAAATAAGAACTGAGAAAGAAACATCATGAAACAACCACTTGCCGCACAAGACGCTGGCTGATGTTCTCGAGGCAGGAGCCGCCCTCATTGGTCTCTTCTGAAGACAGCTTTCTGTACAATGGCATGACCCACCTCAGCTGGATATATGCAAATGCACAGCGCTTTTCCGGATGTGTTTTGGAGTGATCGAAGAGTGTCTGTTTTGGATCTATGCAAATTCACAGGGTCTCTATAGTTTGCCAAGTGTGCCTTATTAATTGTTTTCTGCTCACTCACTACTGAAGGCATGACGCCGCCATCCAGAGTACATATTATAGATTCGATTGGACGGATATGTCGGGGTATAAGTCTTCATTCAACAATCAACCGAACCTGTCTGATCAAGTGCTTGCTATTTTGACCGAGACAACCAGTATCCAAACCTCTGATGGATGCATTTGTTGCACAAAACTTACTTCTAGAGCATGTATGCCGGATGCTATTCAAATCAAACTCAGGTGAAGAAGGACCAACTATATACTTCAAAGAAAATGGTTGACACCCACCGAGCCGCATGTACTTCTCCTTCAAACACTCCTCCACCTGTCGCCGTTCGGTCCCGAAGGGCCGAAGGCAGTGGATGTCTCAGCATCCGGAGTAGAAGTACAAAAGGAAACAACTCATTTAAACATCAAGTATAGATTATGACCCAATCATACTAATTAAGTCTAGTTTCTAGTTAATAATATAACAAAACCGCTGTTCCTTCTGACTCGAAGCTTGACCGCGCTTCCCCCACCCCAAGAACACGCCAATGGTCGGCGGGGGTTGACACCCGGGCCGGCGGGTCGCACCTCTTTGAGTTCTTCCTCTGAGACTTTGAGGTCTTTCAGGAACCGTGGGCCTCAGCCGACCATGTCAGACCTGGTGAGGTGAACTGGTCAGGCCCTGACTCTCCCTCAGGCCTCAAAAAAGGCCCTGGCAACACATGTGCTAGGGAAAACCGGATGGGTTGATGAGTTTTTTTTGCAGAAAATATAGTTTTGGTTTGTAACATGCAAACTGTCTTCAGCAAAGGTACGGATGAACTTCCAGTCATGTTCGAAGCAGGTGCGCAGTGTCCATTTGTACCTTGCAAAATTGGGTCTGGGGAAAACGCGCTTCTCCGGCTCTGGTACTCCATCTTCCCAATCTTCATTGACCTTGTCCTGCACCTGTCTCAGTTCTGCTTCCGTTCGAGCCATCTCCGCAGCTGCAGTTTGCTTCGCCTTGCGTGCCCATTTGCCAAGACCTGCGAGCATTCTGGCCGCACCACCCAGAGAGGACCCGCTCTCGAGCCTCACCGGGTTCGGGGTCCGCTTCTGAAATCGCAGGTGGAGGGGTCTGCTTTGAAGGATCTTGCGAAAGGTCTCTGACGTCATCCCTTCAAGGTCTTCAAGTCGTTCAGTTCCGGCCATCACTAGTCTGTCTCCAACGGAAACTCCCTGTCTGGAGCACAAGGAGCCTTCTTCGACATGTTCCACTTCCACAATGCCTGGGGGCTCACCTTTGAGTTTCACTCCCAAGTTCTCCTCATCAATCTGGATGTGAACCAACTGATCTGCGACGAACTGAGTGGCTGAACCCGGACCGGATCGCGGATGTTCCATCTCATCTTCCTCAACGAAGGAGTCTAAAGAGGAGTCGGATCCCCGGCCGCGTGTGCCACAGGTCTCTGGATCGGTCGGGCGAGCATTCACTGCTGCCGCATTCACTGCGTCGGGTGTGGCCGTAGGGTTCGTTGCCCTCTCTTGAGTGGACGTCAGGTCCTGGCACCGTTTCAGGCCACAAAGTAACAGCTTGTCTGTGTAGACATGCCTCAGCTTCATGTCTGCGTTTATACATCTTACGGAATCTTACGTATGTTAAAATGATGTTTGAATGAATGATGCGGCTGGGTCCTGTGCTGTGAGAAAGCCGTCATCTTTTGGAGAGGATCTTGGATGAACCAAGAGAAGACGCACAATGACAGGCACCACACATCACATCTGAATCATGACATGTGTTCCCAGCAGGCATCTGAGTGATGTCAACGCGCTTCCTTGGCAGGCCTGATGTCAACATTTTACCACCAAGGCCGCCAAGGTGCAGGTGCTCCTGGCTTCCTCCTAGCCATGAATCAAGGCAAAGACATACTTTTCAAGACACATCCAGCAACTATTCAAGGTCCTTGAAGGAGGATGGACTTGAGGAAAATGCAGGCACATGCAAGCAACACCTTGAGTGGTCAAGGACGGATTCATAACAGAAGAATTCAAAAAGAACAAGGTGCAGTACAATACCAAACACCCTGAAGCGTTCATACAAAAAGGTGGGGAACTAATAGGAACTAAATATCCCCTGGTCACTTCATAGAGGCCTCCTACGACATCGACCTCCGCTTCTCTATATGCGTAACACGGTGTGCGAGAAAACGAACTGCGAGAATCACGAACCGATAACTGCGACCACGGTCAGAGTTCGTTCCGGCACCATCAGCACGATCGTGGCCACGCCCACGAACTTCGCATTCTCCTCCAGCGACCTCCGCGAGCGCCGCGCGTCGGTCCGACAGGGTCCGACAGGGCGAAGGGAGTCCCGGTCTCGTCCAGGTGAATGACTGAAGGAGAGTGTCCTCCTAGGTGATGGTCTCATCAAAGTCCACACCAGGAAGGAAGGATTTTAACAAATACAATAAACAGTAAATAACTTAGGCAAGAAAGAAAGAGGATAGGACAAAGAAACAAACACACACTAACTCACTGTATCACTATATATAATGGTTAATAAATCCTTGAGTCGCGACCCTTCCCCGTTCGAGAGAACGTAAACATCGCGCCGCATCGCCGAGCAGTGCAGCACATGTGTCTCAACAGAATGGTTCGGGCAACGAGAATGGATCCCGAACCATCATGAAACCATCGGGTATATATATATATAGATGCAGTACTGAAATACAAGATCCAACATGATCCTGCGGGTAGTATACAGTATACAGGTAGCAGTTGTGCATGACGTTTTTTTCTACATGTTTCAAGCATCCCAAATGCCTGTGGAGCGTCTCTTCCTTCTCATACGAATCAGCACGCAGGAAGTGCTCGACAGCATGGCCTAGCTGGTTTGAAAACCATCAACGGTTGGGGCCAACAACGGTTGGGCCACGTGGGTGTCCTTTGTCAGTCCAACTCGTTCGAAACAGCATCAATGTGGCCACACCAATGGCCTGTCCGCCTGTGCGCTTCACTCCCCAACACCTCAGGACTCCGGACTCCTTCGGTTTAGACGAAGATAGCTTCTCAGGCACAAGCCGTGTAGCAGTATATAAGGAAGCGCAGTAGCATGCCGGCAGATTGGAAGAAAAGAAGTATGAAATCATTCATGACAATTCAATGAACTATATCAACTGATGGACTCTCTGCAGCTGATCTATGGCTCATGTCTTCAGCGTTCTCGTGCTACCTCGCCAGCTTCTTCGTAGATGCATCTAGACTTCACAAACGACCCGCTTTGAGCCCACCAAAGCATCGGACACCGTGGCGGTCGAAGGCGGTCGAAGGCGGTCGAAGCACCCGAAACCGAGCCTGGCAGCGGTTGGACAGAAGCGTTGCCTTAGCTGTGTGGGAGAGGCAGTCCGTGCAGCACCGCGGCTAGGGGGAAGGCATAAGGCATCTTGGGTCGCTGGACTAAAAAGTATTGTTTTTTTTATGTGTTGGCTGGTTTCTTTAGGTTGGAGGCTGGAGGCCATCGCCATAAGGATGGAGGCCATGGCAATCATGAGGTTGGAGGCCATCGCGTTTAATTTAGGATGGAGGCCATCACTATTAAATGGGAAAAATCGCTATTGGGTTGGCCATCTCATTGAAGTTTTGGCTTGGGTTGTTGTGACTCATTGTGGATGCTTTCTCGGCTTTTGAAGTCACGACTATGTCACGCTTGGAGGAAGATCCCGCCCATGCCCACGGTGCCCGATCCGTTTGGTGCCAAGACGCTATGATATCCATTTCGGCATGCTGTAGGCCTGCACAGTAGAACTCAGCTGCTGCCCAATATTGCCTCATTCGCATTGAACGGCGAGACACACCGACAGATCCGGCAAAACAAGCTGTACCCTCCTGCAGATTCATCTGGGCCCTGAAAACAACCAACGGTTGTAAAGGAAAATCGTCTCGCAAGTTGTTTTTCAGGGTCCATGTGAGTCTGCAGGGAGTATCCATGACAGGTGCTGCTGAAGCCATCTGCTGAAGTTGACTGGAGTCTTCTCGTTAAACCGAAGTTTCATACAGCTTCATGATCCCTCAAGAAGGCAGCCCCGCCGAAACGCGTGCATCTCAAAAAGACCCAAAAGAACCGCCAGCCCTGCGCTTGCCCCCCTGGGCAGCCCGCTGCGAGGCCACCGCTTTGTTGCCCATGGCCCGAGCATCAGCAGGATGGATTCCCAAAGTCACCAGGCGTCGTGCCTGCCGGAACCGGCTCAGGCGTGCGCGCGCGCGCGCGCTCTCTCTCTCTCTGGTATGTTCAGTCTGCGGATCCGGCCAAGATGAATAGAACAGTGCATGGCATGGGTGTGGCTGTGCACATTGATCATGTTTGATCATTTTTGACAAAGGATGCAGCGTTTGTTTGGCCTTTGTAATGGCTTCCCGGTATCAACATGCATCTACTACAAATGACAAGCAATATGCTTGCTCTGCATACTGCAGCAGTGCCTTTTTGACTCTTCCTCTTTCCCAGGAGACCTCCATTTGGACCGCCGGGAAAAGGCTGTGAAACTGGCGAAGCACAGCAACACATGACAGGCAGGGTGTTGCTGTGACATAGAGAGTGACCTTGCCAGAGAGCTCTCTCAAACTCCCTGCAGTTGATTCACCTAAGACCTCACAGAGTCTAGCACACAAAAGGTCCAGCACCTGAAACTCTCCACACAGTGAACGCTCGGCATCGGCCAGTGGCAGCGGAATGGGAGAAAGCCAGCAAGAGCTTCTGGCCCGGAACGAGCTTTGGACCGAAAGTCCACTGGTGGCCTCGTAGGATCCCTCCAATTCCTGGCTGAGAAGCTTCAGTTGAAAGGAGAGAAAGGCCTTCACCCGAATCCTTCCCCCTTTCGCCCCTTTCGGAAGCAGGTGAATCGGGTGACGCTCCTCGAGGTCGAGGTGACACTCGTGAAGCTGAGGACATACTGACATGTCGTGAATGGAGGAAATTCCGGAGTGGGCCAACAGCGCACGGGAAGCTTGGGTCCCAATCTGATCTGCTCCAAGCTGAAGAACTGCCTGGGTATAGCTCCGAAGGCATGGAGAAGTCTCGTGAAATCCATGTGGGGAATCCACTGAATCCACATCTCCCAGAGCTTTTTGAAGGATTGCAATGGACGTCTCAAGCTTCTTCTGTATCGCCATAGAGGTGCTCTCCCTCCAGGGTAAGACATGGGAGTCTGCGAGCCATCCCACTTGCTGGGCTGGCATAGAATCCAAGAGCGGCTCCACTGCCAAAAGGATCGGCATCAAGTCCGGCAACTCGTGAAAGCTCAACTGTCCACAAGACCAAGCGATGCTTGCCACCTGTCGTGCCTCCAGCTTTGACACACACCTGGCCGAAGAAGCCACGATGATCTCCATGCAGGGGCGATCCCCATGGATCGTTGAGGCAAATGCCCAAGCGAGGTTGGCCCAGTCCATCGGCGTCGCATCGACGCCAGCCACGATCCCTGCGGAGATGCGGCGGAAGAGCGGCTCCGAACCGCTGCGCCGCAGTCGAGCAAAGCCTCAGGCCATGGTGGCCAGGTCTCGTGGAGTGCTCCCTCCGCTGTGATCGCTGAGGAAGCGCTGTGCTAAGGCCTCCAGCAAGGTCTCGTGATGCAGGACAAAGCGAGCGAAGGACCATGCGATGCCAACCACCTCTCTGGATCCAAACTCGGATGCGGCACGAACGGCACGAACTCGCGTGTGTACGTCACGACCCAAAAAAGCCAAGGTTTCGGAGGCCACTACATCCATCAAAGTCATATTCCGCTTCATCAGCTTCGCCCAGGCCCATGCGATGGATGCTAAGCCCTTTGGATGGAACGGGCCCTTTGGCGAGCCTGGAACTCGGCAAAGCTGTCGAGCGAGAGCATCAAGCATGGGAGCCTGGAAGACCTTCAAACGAGCCAAGGACCAAGCAATGTTCGCCAAATGTCGGGTGTTTAATTCTCCAAGTTGCGGAAGAAGCTCATCACAAAGATCCAACACTTAGACTTAGATCACGCAAGCTGGAGCAGATTGATCATCCATGTTTCTTCCAAAGTCTCATGCCATATGCGCAAGTTCTTGCGCTCTCAGCGGGTTCTGCTAGACGCTTCGGCTGCTAGTTACGTGACCCATCGCTCGCGTCAGCCCATGGCTGGAGCTTTGGAGTGCCCCACACAGACCCCGTAGGTGCATGAGAGGCACAGCCAGCGCAGCAAACCCAAGAGTAGCAGGCTGCTTGGTGGCATCAAATGCATCATTGAATACTTTAGTTGCTCGTTGTTCTCTGCATTTAAAGATACTCTAGGTCCTATAGGTCAACTGTACTCTGAACATCTCCAAACATCTCTAAAAAAAAAAAAATATATATATATATTTCAAAAAAAAACATAACATAATATTAAGTCTTGTTGTTTCAGTGCTCCTTTTGATCTCAACAGCTGCAAACCTCAGTCCCTCACCGCCCTCCGCCGAACGAAAAACGCCGCGAACTCCGCATCATCGCGTCAAACGCCTCGTCCGGCCGCACGGCGATGCCGCGAAGCCCGTCTCGGTGGACCTCGTGGATGAACACGGTGAATGGAGAGCAGAAGCAAAATGGGTTTGCAGCATGTTTTTGGTTGCTTTTTGAGTTGTTGGACTGTTTTCTTGAAAAAGCCTTGGGGACACAAGTGCTTGCAAAAGCACTGACGAACGTGATGTTTATTATCTGTAAGCTGCCGCATGCTGCAACAAAAACGCTCCAAATCCGAGCAAGTCTGGGTGAAAGCTTCGGGCCACAAGAATGGGCTCCATGATGTCCAGCTTGTTGCCCTTGGCAAACCGAGCCTCACCACGGTAGCACGGACCCGTGACTTGACGGTCGACGGTTCGTGCATGCGGCACATGTGTTTGTGCATGGCGACATGAATCTAGAACATCTATGAAATGACTCGCATGCCACATTTGTGGTCTACCAGCTACATGAAAACATCAAACATCAAAAAGATCAAGTAAAACGAGTGTTCTTCTCTTTCAGCTGATTTCAGCTGTCTCTGATTCCCACATCGGCCTGGGCCACATCGTTCAAAAAGGCTCCAGCGGCAGGTAGTTGATCTCAGTCCGCGCCCGCTTTCGTCCACTCCGTCGGAAGTGCTGGGAATTCACGGCGTTTCACGGTGGCATTTTCACGGCAGGCGTGGGCGACCGGGCGGGACCTCACGTCAGTCACCTTGTTCTTTCACCTTGCGGTCGTCTCACTTCCCAGCCTCACCCTGATCTACCAGGTTCGGCTGGCAGGTCGGGTTTCAAAAGGCGGGTGAAGGGATGCAGCGCGCGGCATCGTGAAGAACTGAGCGGCATCGTGGAGCCACATTGCCGTCGTTAACAACGTCTGCTGCGGAGAGTCCGCAGGCCATAGGCCAAGTCAATACAATCATGGCCATCATCCGTTTTTTGGAACTTTCGGACATTGGTCACTCCAAGTGGTCCTCCAAGTGGTCCCGTGGTCACCTGTGCCGAAGCTATCGAAATCCATCCTTGGGCGGTTTCGCTGGGAGGCCTTTCCGACACAGGATCACGGCCAAAGCTACACTGAAGAGCCAACCGAAGGTCATGTTCATGGTGCAAGCCATCAACATCCCTTCAAACGTTGGTGTCCGAACGATCCCTTGAAATACATATGCTAGAATGCCAGCCAGTGAGGTCAGGAATCCCAGGAAGGTCCCAAAAAAGTCGGGTGGTGCGAACATCACGCAGTATTTGGACGCCACATTCAGGAACAGCGCGAACCACGTGACCAGTGCAACGACGTGTAGCAACTGCACCCAAAGAACTGGCACAAGAAGAGTCAGAGGCACACAGAGTGCCAGAAAGGATGTGATCATGAAGACGGGGAGAAATCCGACTCGATCGAAGAGAAAGCCGGCAATGGGGTTCAGGCCAACGCCGAGAATTACCAACATCAAGGCATATACTTGTAAAAGCATCTCGCTGTCCTTCGAAGAAAACCACATATGGAACTTGGTATCTAAACTACTGAAGCAATTCAGCTCTCCTGCCATGAAAAGGCTCACATACAAAAGCATACAGGAATTCTCCAAGAAGTGCAGCTTGAAGACTTGGGTGCACTCATAGAGAGCATGCCGGACAGATAGCACACTGATCAAAGATGACACGTCCAAGGAGGATGGGTGTGTATTCAGCACCCTGCCGGCTTCAGTGAGCATCTGTGTCTTTGTCGGGCAGCTAGCGTAGAAGACCACAGAGGCTGAGATACTCAGAAATGCCAGAAACACAAATGAATCTGAAATACTGTAGCCATTGACCACCATGTAACGTATGCACAAGCCCAAGCCTCCAGAGGCTTGAGTTGCTGCGTTGCTGAGCCCGATGAACAAAGCTTGTACTTTGGGATAATGCCACATAAAGGCCAGGATGCTGAAGGATGCCAAGTTGCCTCCCAGGTCAGTGGCAACAAGGCCGAAATACATCAGCCCACTTTGCGTCCAGGGCCATGCCTCTCCATCCATCTGTACAGCTACTGCCAACAAAAGAAAGCAAACTGCTGCAGTCACAGCGCCCAGCGCTGCAGCCTTCTGGGCCCCTAAGAGATCAAAAGCACAGCCCACGAGGATGAAGAAGCGCATCTGCATCGAAAAGGTCGTGGCATAGAGATCTCGAAGCGCTGCAGCTTGTTTTGGACATTGGCTCACACCATCTGCACAGGCCCACTTGAAAACCCCCGCCCGAGCCAAATCCCGGTTGAAGAGTGGATATGCACTCAGCGGTCCGGCCGACAAGGTGGCGAAAATCGTCACCAGCACAACCAGGCAATGGCTTTTCCAGGTATATGCGCCCGTTGTGTCGCCCATCATGCGCCTCGTTCCATCTCCCGTCTTCTGGGCCAAGTTCAACTTCTCCCGGTTCTTTGCAATGAGGGGTTCCATAGCATTGCAGCTAGCACGGTAAGCGGCTGCTGTCGGGCTGTCATCGACTTCACTGTCACTGGTTGGAGCAGGAAGGTTCTTGAGCATGCTTTCCAGGTCTTGTCGAATGGCCACTGCCAAACCTCGCGCATTGGGAACCACATTTTTGGTGACTTCAATCGTGAGGGTCATCACACCAGAAGCACCGCTGGTGCAAATATTCACCACTAAACCTGAAAAAAACACATGGGAACACTGGATGTTCTCCAGTACCTGGAAGCTCTCATACTGCGTGAAATTGGACAGGACTCCCAAACTGGAGATCGAGACTTGTGGCGCGTGCGCACCCATTGCTGCAACGAGCTCTGGTGTCATTTGCTGCATCAGTTTCAGCCTGTCTCGGGTGCTGACGCCCATGGTCATGGCAAAAGCAGGAAAGCTGCACTTCAAGTCCATGGTCCGCTCCAAGAAGCGGCGGGCTGTCCTCGAATCGCATTTTTCCAGGCGGAGCGAGCTTTCTTTCTATCAGCATAAACCACCAAAAAACTGAGTCTATGTGCTCAAAACGATACAGTGCAAAAATCAAGCTGTCTCGGATCGCTGGTTTCTTTACTGCTTCAAGATCAGTTGAGAGCCAGGAACGAGGGTTAGTTGCACACCAGCAATGTGTTGTACTTGTTTAGTGTCTTTATCAGCCATGATGGAGGCAGCAGTTGTTGCAGATCTTCTCCAGGCTGAGCAGCGGTTGCAGCCCGCTTTTCTATCACATTAGATATTTCACAATTGAGAGGTTCTTTTGGATTCTTCCTGTATTTGGTCTGCATTTAGGGGTGGCGTCTATCTCTTGTTTTTTTTTAAATCTTCTTGCGTGGAGGTTTTGCCTGCAAGCAAAAGGCGCTTCCACGGGTGATCTTCAGAAATTGTGATTTCACGTTTGCTGATTTTGCGCAGAGGGCTAGGGTTGGTCTTATTGGATGTCCGAATTTGGGAATGCCCTTTCCGTTTTACTGTTGGCGGTTCACTTGAAGGAGCCGCAGGTGGTCTCTTTAGACCCATCATGCGTTTCAGGGATGATTTTGGAAGGAAGGCCAGGAGACGTTGGAAAAGAAAAATGTTGAAGGTAGCAAAGGAAACGTTTGGCCTTGATTCCCGGCAAAAAAACTATTTTACTTCGAATGATCCCCACCATGACACTTCAATCTGACAATTTTTTTGGCCTGCATTGAAGCACTATTTTGACATGTGTTGGCACATCGTCTAGCATTCTTTCTGGCATATCTTCCGACATTATATCTGACATTTGTTCTGCCATATCTTCTAACATTCTTTCTGGCATATCTTCTGACGTTCTTTCTGTCAATATTTCCGGCATATCTTCTGACATTAGTTCTGGCATCTCTTCTGACATGTTTCTGGCATTTCTTCTGACACTCTATCTGGCATATCTTCTGATATTTTTCTGGCATCTCTTCTGACATGCTTTCTGAACTGGCATCTCTTCTGACATTCTATCTTGCAAGTCGTCTGACATTCTTTCTGGCATCTCTTCTGACATTCATTCTGGCACTCTATCTAACATATCTCCTAACATTCTTTCTGGCATATCATATCTTCTGACATTCTTTCTGGCATCTCTTCTGACAGTCATTCTGGCATTCTATCTCGCATATCTTCTGACATTCTTTCTGGTCGAGGTCCGGCGGGGAACACTGCCAGTTGAAGCTCGCGGTTGTGGTCCGGCGGGGAACACTGCTCGCCGAAGCTCGCGGTTGAGGTCCGCCGGGAATCACTGCCATCCGGAGCCGGCGGTTGAGGTCCGGCGGGGAACACTGCCGTCCGGAGCTGGCGGTGGCCTTGAATTGCAGCTTCTGGACCAGAAGCTGATTATGCACGACTTGAGAGCAAGGCCGGTCGGTTTCCATTTTTGGAATGACGTGCGTGCCAGATAATTGAGCCTGCAACTGCTTGCGCATGTCTCTCAGAAGCTTTTATGGCAACGCAACGAGTCCCGAAGTAAGAGCTTCATCGCAACTCAAAAGCCACCCATCAAGAACGAAGTTTCTGGAACCCCCTTCAATAACTTCACACATAGACTGGGAGCTTGCCCTCCTGAAAGTGTCTCCAAAGCAGCATGGGGAGTCAGGTGCCTCCAACATCACTGAAGTCATCTTCACTCTGTAGTCTAGTATACACTCAAGTCCTTTCCTGTAACGCTTGCAACTTGAGAAAAAAATAGTCCTGCTCATTTCTTTTTGATGTCCTTTTGCTTTCATTGGAAATCAGAGGGACATGACCAGGAATCGAAAAAGGACGTTATGATTTATGATAAATCCAAAATCAGCCAGTCAAATCAAGCAAACGGGAATTTAGAAACTCAAAAAAAAGATAGTTGAGACATGTTGAGACTAAAAGGATATTGAAATTCCAAAAGAACATTTAAAAGGGATCTAATTGGAATTTACTGTAACATCATCTGGGGGTCCCTCAGAAGAGAAGTTGTTGGAGAGGCTCCAGGAGTTATTATTCACAGTCTACACATCATCGCTGACCGTCCTGGCAGTCTTCCAAAAATCTGGCTGAACTTGGCTGTGGAACACCAGCTGACTGGCAAAGTTGCCCATCTCCTGCATGTATTGCTTATCCAGGTGTGATCTTTCGTTCACCAGGATTCCCACCGATACGGCATCGCTGGCGATGCCTCGTTCATGCAGCTCCCTTAGCACGGAGTGTTGCAAGGCAGCCATGATGGTGCCAGTGATGGTCGTGCCAGCGTTGCGGCTTGCTTTCGCGATCTCTTTGGTCTTCGCAGCATCGATGCGCAAAAGCTCAATGCAAATCCCCTCGAAGACGGGTCGGAACTCCGGATGATGTGGCTGGACAAACGTGTCATTAATGGCATTCTCTGGAACAGGTGGAAACTCCTCTTCAATGATCTTCCAGTTCTCAATGATCTCTGGGCTAAAGGTCCCGTCGAAGCCAATGATTTCTGTGTAATTCATATGGCTTTTGCACATCGGTACCTCTTGACCATCATAGAGCCGCAGGAGGTGAGCTAAAGCCACCTCAATGGCTCGGCCGTCACCAGCCCCATGCCTGAATCCCAGAAGCAACACAGAATGTTCGTTGTTGTAGAAAATGTATGTGGCCCAAACAGCAGGATGAGGATCAGGATTGGTTTGCAGCACCCGTTCGAAGTCCAAATTCATGCAATTGTGGTCTGCACCATCGAGTTCATAAAGAGGGATTGGTGTGTTATCCTTCAGCAAATAGGCCTTCCCCATTTTCATGTGCAGCTTGGCACGAAGCCGTATATGTCGTGCTTGCACGCCATCCAAAGCAGCACGGAGCTTCTGCGAGTCCAATCTGGGACCCTTCAAATGCACTGCATGGATATGATTCAAGTTGGGGCATCCTGGCTTCATCTCATGCCAAAAGCTGGGCATCAAATCCATGAAATCCTGACTGGAGATCACATCTGCCGCATCGAAGGATGAAAAGCACTCCATGGCAAGCTGCGAGTTCTGCAAGCTCTGCGAGCTGCAAGGGATGCTTGGAATTCGAGCTGGGTCATTGTCCAATGCCCTGTGATGCCCTGTGATGCCCTGTGGTTGTGTCTTGTACCGGGAACCTTATCTTTTCTCTTTTGCATTCGTCTGATGTACTCAAACTGAAATTTCAGGATTGGCTGGTTCTCAGCAAGTGATCCTGAAGATTTGATGTCAACATCTGAAAGCTCAGGTGATTGATACTGAACCGAAAACCACATGAAACATATGAAACGACCGTGCTCTTCAAGCTTCAGTGGAGCTGTGACATGTACTGAAACAAATTCAAAGCTAGCAGCTAGACCCTTCGGTGACCCGAGTGAGGCTGGCACTGTCCAGAAAGACTCTCTCCAGAGCCCCTTCTCCATCGCGAGCAATGGTCATGATTTGCCTAGCAATGCATATCAATCATCTCTTCACCAAGTCGTTGAAGCTTTGCCAGATCTCCGGATTCTCACAGGAGGGATGGTGATGATGATGATGATGATGGTGGTGGTGATGATGATGATGATCATCATCATCAAAACAAATCAAAAGCTATAGTTAACTCTTCACTGACCTCAGGCTCTTAGAATGGTGCATCTGTTTAATGCTATATAATATATACAGTATCCAGATCTGATTCTGCATCCGGGCTACCCTGTGGGTGATGTCGCTGGGTCTGTGACGAGGGTGATCTGAGGCGATCGAGCGAGCTGAATCCTAGGAGTCGTCTCACCACGTTGGACAACTCTTTCTCAGGCGTCAGCTGAGCAAGCGGCCGCCTGGCAAACTCATAGCAGATCGTGTGCCGTGTCACTTGGATGGCCGTTGGTGGGCAAGGCTGATCCCAAACACATCTGGCGGCATGTGTGCAAAGCGCCTCCTCAGGATAGAAGAATGGTGTTATCTCCTAAGTCCAAAGTCTCGGACTCCGCGTCGAACATGGAATTGTCACATCATGTCGACTCTTCTTGTGCCGAATCTCTCAAGTGACATGTTCATCAAGCTTGAGCCCATGGCTGAAGCCTGGATTCGAGCCAGCTTCCCTGGTGCTATCCGCTGCCCCGAGTCCCTCTGCCCACACGGTCGCCTCGGCCGCACGAGATCACCCACCGGATCCCACGCGCGGCTCGGCAAAAGGACGTGGCTCGCTCTTCGCCTGCGCACGAGCTCGGTGAGATGGGGCGAACTTCCCATGGCGCTGCTCCGCCACAGCTCCGAGGCCAGTTCCTCGCGCACGAGAAGATGGGCGAGAGAGAGAGAGAGAGCGACGAAGGTTTCGGGGTTTCGGCGCGACCGGGGAAATGTGGGTGATGCATGTCGGTGACTTGGTTGGAAGTCGAAGACCTTGCACATTTTGTGTGTGTGTGTCAAACAAAAATCAAATACAACTTGGAGGATGAGTCATACCTCTGCTGGTCAGGCTTTCAGGGGTTGCTTCAAAAGGTAGATCACTTCTGATCATCGACGGTCCTTTTGCTTTTCAAATAGGTCATGCCCCCAAGCTTGCTTCCCAAACTGAGGAATATGCTTCACCTGCTCCGTGCGTCAAACGCAAAGCTGCTCAGTCTGCTGCTCAGTGCGAATGATGGAGACTTGAGATCCCAGCCTCCATCTCCTGAAGCGCTTGCGTCACAGACTTGGAGCAGGTCTCAAGTCTCTCAAGTCTGAGCCAATTCAAATCTGTTCCTCCCCCAAAATCCATTCATCACCTTCTCCACCTTCACATTCGAGGCTCTTCAGCTCCGACAACCTCTTCTCGCCGGGCACCGTTCCGAAGCGCCTGAATCACTGTTGGATCTGTGCGCCCCACGGCAGGGCCCAAAAGCACCTCGTGCGCACCGACCGCAACGGGCCACGGACCGCAACGGGCGCTGCAGCTGGGCGCCTGTAAAGGCCTTGTGATGCCAAAGGCGCCTGCGAAGTGCTAGGACTGCTGGGACCCGCCATGAACGAAATGGTCCCTCTCGGAATGGTCCGTTCAGAGTGATTGATGTTTCATGGCTTCTTTCATGGCTTCTTGCGCCGATGGACGCCTGGAGGGTACAGCACAGATTGCGGAGATCCACGTCGACATCGGCCTGGGCTCATCGCACTTCGTGGCACTAAAGATCAGACCAAATCACTCCAAGAAAGGCACGAATTGTGGCGATGGAAGGTTCAAATCCAGGTGTTTTTGAGGCCTGGCGGGCGGAACTTGTTAAATCTGTTTTAATGTTGTGCCTTTATCCAATGCAACCAAGTTTCTTTCACGTCAGGTTTGCCCAACACTGGGTGGCCTGGCTGACATCCAAGAAGTTAAATGCCCCGGATACCGGCGAATACGGTATCAAACCATATCAAAGGCCTCTCAGGCGACTGGTCGCTAGCAGGAATAGGTCTCGGTACTTATCCTCAGAATGCAAATCTCTTGACATGTGTTTTCTTCCAAGTCAAAGTCATGGTGTACCAACACCAAAAAGGAAGTCCGGCCAAAGGAAGCCTCCAGGAAGTCTTGAAAGCTCGACAAGAAATGTCGCCGCCTGCAAGTCTTCCAACAATTTCGGCCCAAGTGTCTTATTTAGTCATGTTTAACTCCAAACAAAATTGTTCCACCCTAAAAATGTCTCACACATGTCTCACACGTGTCTTCGTCTACCATCGGTTCTGTTCGCATCTGTTCGCTGTTTCTGCCTCTCCTGGCTCAAAGAGCTGCAGAGTCCAAAGACCTCCGGCTTTTCGTCGCGTGGCTCCGACGGAGAGCAGTGCCGCGCGTGGCTCCGGAGACGAGCGAAGGATGGAAGAGAATCGGGAGAGCTCTGTCGCTCTGTCGACTGTGGGACGATCCGAATCGAAGCGTCTTCTTTTTGTTTGGCGCCTTTTGCTTGGATTCAAGCCATTTCTGGCACGCAAAACTGACACATAGACCTTGTCTATGGTCTTGGCGAACGTCGACAGCTGTCAACCTGAAGTGGCCTGCATGACCCACCAGTCATCAATCCAGGAGCATCCATGGGATGCTGAAACATGAAGCAAAAGCCCACAAAACTTCTAAATCACTTCAGATTTACGATCTTCACTTTGCCATGCTTTGCCTGTTCTCCAAGATTTCGGTGGATCGTGAAGTCAGCACACTTCGCTAGTTTGATCGGAGAAAATCGACCAGTTTCAGATCCGGGATTAGTCCGCAGCCCTTTTAAAGCTGCAGAGGGTTGGACACCGTTCGGTCAGAAAATGTCCCAAGTATTTGTCCAAGCCTTGGATGAGAAAACTTGATGAAGATCTGTGAAGAAAACAGAAGATGCGGATGCGCAGCAAATGAACCACTTGTGCAGCCAAGAGTGCCAATCAGACATGGAAGAGCTTGTCGTACTGGCCCTTCTCGAACACAGCAGCATTCCTTGGATTAAACATTTGATGATCTATATATATAATGTCCGACTTCTCACTGGGCTTGTCATGGTTTCTCTTCCCAATTTTCCAATCTAATCCATTCAACAGAAGTGGACCTTCCCCCCTTTCTCCACGTGCAAACTTCCCGCTTCGTTCAACCAACGAAATCAATGAAACGATCCGAACGACCACGCCACGCCGGCCCTGCGCCATGCGTCATCTTCGCCATGTCGAAGCCCACCTCCTGCATCCAGCCTCGCCCGATCGGCCGAGACCCGCCGACGGAACGACGGAACGACGGGCTGTTGCAGCCAGGTCACCATCATCCATGAACTTGCCTCAGTCGGCTGAATGTCCAAAGAGAAAGTGGATGAAGAATGTCCAAGGAACAAACATGAAACAATGGGTCATCTTCTATATATAGGTGGGAACCGATGAAAAAAGCCCTGAAACTTCTGCATGCCAAGCTTCTCATGTAATTCCTTGCGGAATCTGCCAAAAGAACAGCACATCGCTTGTCCTGTCAAGTGGATACTGAGTCCGTTCTCACCGCTGAGCGATGGAATCCCAGAAAAATCCCGGAAGGAATCGATGTTTTGCATGGCATTTCTATATGTTTCGCTTTGAGCTTTAACATTGTTTTAAACCAACCAAAAAAGATGAAAAGAAACATCACGCATCGAGTCTATTACTTTTGCATACCTTTCCGGAACCGCTCGGCAACCGGAAACTGGCAAACCGCAGCCACTCGTCGCCTTGCCAATCTTGTTCTCTTTGATGAATCGGTAGGCGCCCGCCACGGTGGAGCCGCAGCTGCCACCGATCAGCAGACCCTCGTGGCCTGACGAGGCGGTCGACCGGTCGACGGAAGCCGTTGAAAGAGCCAAAAATAGGAAGAAGGACTAAGGACCGTGGTGTCGTGAGCCCGAATTGTTCCTTGTCTTGGATGTTGTGTCGAAAAGGTTAGAGAGCGAAAGGTTTTGGCCAGAGATTGGACTCGCAACTCCTGGCCCCATAATTCTTGGGCGCGGAAGATGATCTTTCCTTCTGTATCTTCGGGACATCTACATTAGCCGCCCTCATTAGGTGAGGTTGTTGTTATTGTAGATACTTGCAGTTGTAGTCGTTGTCGTAGTGCTTGTGCTTGTGCTTGTGCTTGTGGTTGTGGTTGTGCTTGTGGTTGTGGTTGTGGTTGTGGTTCTTCTTCTTCTTCTTCTTCTTCTTCTTCTTCTTCTTCTTCGTCTTCTTGGAACCTCCCAGAAGACTGGCTGGTGATTGGTTGTGTCCAAGACTCCCCAGTTTTGCTTTCGACAGGTCACCGCAGCCTCTCTCCACACGGAACACTCACCGACTGAAACGCTTCCAAGACACGAACCAAGGCACGGCACATGGCAAAAGCTTCATCGTCGTCGGTCTTCACCTGGTCGATAGTTCTGGGTTTCCTTTTGGATCCGCGTAGAAAACATGGATGGAAGGAGTTTTGCGATCCAAGTTGGCCAACAGAGTTTTGCCACATGAGTCTCGTGATCAAACCTTCCCCAAGAATCCCACCAAAGTCCGGCACTCCCAGATCATGCCAGCCACCGGTGTTGCGGAAAAAAAAACACCACCCGGGACCGCACAACGTAGGCCCCACACCCAATAGTCCACGATCTCTCGATCGAGCACGGTGGGAATGAAATCGTAGCCTTGGGCGTCGCGTCTCGGTCACCACGGTCACCACGGCTCCGTACACCCAACTTGGACCGCAAACCGGGATGGGGAAAAAGGATTGAAAAAGAACACCAAGTGGAGGAGGCAAGTGTGAAAAAAAACGAGAAATTGCATGTTGCATCTGATGTTATTATTGATATAATATATATATATATATATTGATCATCATATTGATCTCAATTCCACGACCTTCAAGAAACTGGCTGAAGATGATCCTAGAAGCGGCCCAAACAACTGTTCTGTTCATGTTTTTGCTCGTAAAAAGGGTCTGGGCGTGGTTATTGATGTTATTGTTTCATGACCCACTGGCACTTGTCGCTTTCATGCACTGAAGATGAATTAGGTGTCCATGAATCAACACGTGGCTGAAAGATGTTGGACCGCCACCGTCCTGAAGAAGCCCGTCGTTGGTCCGCCACGAACTCCGCCACGTCCGTTCATGTCCTGTCCGGTTCAACTCCGTTGCCCCATGCCGTCGTTCCAAGGAGCCAATGCCCTCGACCTGGTAGGCGGACAACCTGGGCTGGGAGAGGACGCAGCCCGGTCACCGCCTATGGAGTCAGAAGTCTTTTCTATGGAGTCTTAGACTGACAAACACTTTCAGAACTCCGTTTGCTCCAGCTCGCAGTGGGTCAAAGGCGTATACTATACTTAAAAATTGACGAAACCATGACAAGCGTTTGGAGAACCAGGACTCCAACTTCACGTGCACAAATCCAATCCTGTCCCGAAATCTGATTGAGACCCAGAAGCTTCTCTTGCCCAGTTCGCGTGGACTTCTCATTCACTTCTGCGGGCTCTGCCTGGTTCCGCTTCGAACGACCGGTTCACGTCCTCCGCCCACCGGCCCGGGAGACGAGCACCGTCGTCCGCGAGGCCCGGGCCAGGATGGATCCATAGGGGTCCACACCGACGACCTGAGTCGGTGCGCGCGCGCAGGTCGGCAGCTCGGTGGTGAGCATGGCAAATGGTCTGATGTAACTGTATATATATATATAATTGTATATAGCTGGGCCCTTTTTGGTGGGTTTTGGAAAGAAAACCAGGAAGGCTTTGTCTGATCGGGTTTTGGCAGGTTTGGTTGGGGTGAAGTGCTGAAGTTTGGTCTGATCGGGTTGATGAAGAACGTGTATGATGTTTCCACCCAAACCAAACGCCGTCACCCCAAACCAGGGTAGTACGGAAATCAGAAATTGCTTAAATGTCTGGTCTAACCAATTTATGGGGGTTTTCGAGCAGTTTGGTCGGGGTGTTAAAAAAGAATTGAGGCTCCATGCCTTCACACCAGGGATGAGCTCCTGAGATGCAAACTCGCGGTGGAGACAGCAGGTGGAGTTCGACACAGTGACCGACGCTCTGTAGCGCACGCTCCTTGAGCTTCTTGGCAACTCCAGTCATAGTACCACCGGTTCCAGTGGACCTGAAGAGATATGATGAAAACCATATGGGAGCTACTAGTAGCTTCTTGTAGTAGCGATGACCTCCACCTAATAGCGTCCTTGCCACTATAGTAGAAAACTATATGGACCATTTCTGGCAATGCCCTTGTGGCACTTGTGCCGGGAAGTGAAGATAGTGAAGAGAGTGAAGTGATTGGGGAAGGCTCTGCCCACTTCGTGGCTCAACCACCTTCACCACTTGTCTTAGTCAAATGAAGCCATTGCCAAGGTGCATGATCATGTAGTCCAGCTTTCCTTGGTGCAAAGGCCAGAAGAAAAGAGGGACACTGTGACCTATTGAAACAGCCTCTACACTGATGGATAGAAGGCTAGGGATGGCTAGGGTAGCCCACCATCCACTGTAGGGAGAATCATCTCCATGCTCACCACAGACTTAATCATCTTAACTCATAACTCGCCGTCTAAACAAAGGAAAACGAGACCATCCCGCACCATCCCCTCTGAAACCCCAAGTTTCTGATTCAATCCAATGAATTGGTTTGAGGGAAAAATCTGCAGGAAACCCATGGATCAACTTCTCAACTGGCACTCCGAACCGGTTTGGTGCGGTGCTCACTCCGGCCTTCGCACTGCTCCGCAATCTCCTCGGCGGTGCCGTCGTAGTGGGCCAGGGGATTGCCAGCGTTCTTGTACTGGTCCAGGACGTGACCACCTTGGAAAATCCCATGTAAAATCAGAGAAACCCAAGCTCACCAGATCGAAACAACGCTCGAGGACCGCTCGGACTTCGCATTGAAAGAGCTGTTCAAAAAAAGGATTCCAGGTGAGCTGATGCGAAAAAGAATTCCAGGTGGTGAGCTCGCTCCAGTGATGTCAAGTGCTTTTCGGAGCCCGACCAAGGTCTTTTGCCAGGCGGGCGGACAAGAAGATGTGGCTGTCTTCGGCGTCCCATGCAGCCTGTGGCGACCCACGGGATCGGGGCATGGACCCACAAGGGTCCCTTGGCTGGGTGGAAGCCTTGGCTAACAAACTGGGGTGCCTCGGTGGGGGTTCGAAGGATCTCAGCTCCAAGGCATTTCATGGTGTTGACCTTCTCGCCAGACATCTTCCTTGCGAGAAGAGAAGAGAGTGGCGAACTGGTCCACTTCGAGCACAGCAAGTTCGAAGCAAAGAGGCTATTTGAAGAGTCAAGCGAATGCCAAGGGGCTGTGGCAAGCAAATGATCTGTTTGTATCCTGGCAGGGATCCATCTCTATACAATCATACAATTCAAGCATAAGCACATCGGCAAGCTTCGTCTATCCGTCAGTTTCCAATGATCTGAATCTGATCTGTCCGCTACGTATCGTTCTGCTCCAAAATGTCTGTTCTCTATGGCTGCGACTCAGAATGAGCTCCAAACTGGACAAAATGACCAGCATTTGTGGTCGAAATGTGTTGTCTTTTATGTTGACCACTTTCGGTTGACCAGGGACAGCAAAGTTACAAATCTTCGCCCCAGCATTCAATGAGAGGCAGAGATTGTTGAAGCAACTCTGTCTCTGGGTCTCTAAGCAACGATACGAAAATATATAGATACCCGCCTCGCCGGTCTCTGGCCTTCTTTCTCGCACGAACCCGGCGCGCGCGAAGGTAGACTGTTCGGCCCGAGGGCGGCGTTCGTCTTTCGATGTTCGACGCCGCCCTGACGGCCGCGCCTTTGATGGCGGAGACCATGCACAAGCCGACGCCGGTGTTTCCACTGGTGGCCTCGATGAGGATGTCACCTAGCGCTCGGGGACTGGGACCGAAGCGCTTTCCCAGTGCCTCTCTGGGTGCCGCCTGGCTTGATTCGGCCACTCCTCAGCGCGGTGGGAACGACACAGATGCACTGCTGCACCAAGATGAGCCAAGGTCCCAAGAACGGCCCCTCTCTTTCCACATATCATTCCATAGTAAAAAACAAAATCTGAGGCAAAGGTGATATTGTCATATACTATACTATCATATACTATCATTACTATCTATAATCTATCTATTATATATAATATATGTTTCAATCAGAGATCTTTTGCATCGGAACCAAATCTGCCTCACCCCCAAACAACATTGGCCAAGCGTCTTCTCCGCTTCCTCGACCATCCTCTTGGCAATGCGGTCCTTCACGGAGCCTCCCGCATTGAAGAGCTCCACCTGGAGAACGAGCGGCTCGGCTCAGCTCGGGGGAGGCAGCTTCGATCCTATGACCGTTGAACAAGACCGTTGAGGATCAACGGGGGATCACCATCTTGCTGTTTGTTGGAGTGAAGATCCCCCCAAAAATCTCCAGGCGCACGAATCCCTTGCCATTTTTGTCCACACCAAAAACGGGATACTTGGCAGATCTGTGTTCGTCTCCGGTTCGGTGAGAAAGGCTTGCCTTTGCCACGAAGTCGCAGTCAACATCCTTAGAACAATAATGAAAAATGCAAGGAACAGACTCGTCTGACTGATGATTGCCGTGTTTCTGCACTGTGCATTGGTCGGTCCACACTTAGCATTTGACCAAGAAGTTTGACAGACGCGCCATGCGCACCATCCTTAGTGAACTCTCATGGATTCACTTCAAAAAAATCAAGCTTCAAAAACGTCAACCATGCACTGAATGAAAATGCTTGAGCAAGTGGCGGAGTGTAGCCAATCAAATCCAAGGCGGACTCGCAAATCTTTTCATAGCGGTAGGGTCTCAGCAAGCATCAGGATCTTTGAAACTCTGAGCTTCTTGTGTGCCACATCAAACCATCTTTCACGCAAAGAATGGATGGAAAGCCTCATGATCCTGTATTGACAATGGGTCGCTGGCTTGAGGCTCTTGTTGGGGCCAGTCGTGAGCTTCTTGAAGTCATTGTCGATAGTGCTGTCCCAGCCCACCTGAAGCACATGAGTCAGAACCGGTTCCAAAGTCCCTCAAGAAGCTATGGGGTTCCATAGAAGACTACACTGGGGATTACATGGATGTGTATTTGAATAGGGAGACCCCCAAGAAAAATGAGTAGACTTGTCTATGTCCCTTTTCCGAGGTGGTCTTTGGAAGGTCTCCCTATTTCAATACACACCCACATGGATGCAAAGGGATGCAACCGGCACAAACTTGCCATCCTGTGCCCGTGTCCAACTGTGCCGCTATGGGACGTAGTCAGGAGCCCTAATGACGCCCTCCTTGGATTCATCATATGGCATCTTCTGCATCTCTCGCCTTGGCAAGGGAAAAAACTTCAAACGAAAAGGGATGTTCTGAAGCTTCCAAAAGGATCCAACTTGTCTACACTGAACAGTGACACTGTAGATGGACGGAACATCTGCACCACCTAAAGTTCCCAAGACATGGTGCTGGTCTGGAAGAGTGTTCCAAACAAAGACCTCCCAGTTGGACCAGCAAAACAATGCATGCCAATGCGAAAGAGGGCGGGTGTCCCGAACGGTTTTTCACTGGATGTTTCCTGTAAAGCGCCCCGAACGGTCGCCGCCGAGATTCGCTCGTGCAATGACTGGATCCACCGCTGCGATGAAGCGAGCTTGAGGCAGCCTAGACTGCGGGCTGCGTCCTATCAACGACCGTCTGAAGGCTGCCTGAAAGAGGCTGTTGTCATGTATGACGTGTAGAACGATTGGTTGACATAATGTCTTCTTACCCTTGGATTATCCTTAGTCTTTCTATGTTTTCCTCATCCTTTTTTTCCCATATCTTTGGTGTGTATGACGGTGTTTTAACTCCAAATGCAAACTCAATGTCCTATTCTTCTAGGACCTAGGAGGATCATTAGAAATCAGATTCCATATAACATCATATAATTAACTGTAACTAGTAGGATACACTAGGACCAGGATGGTTGGTTCACACACACATCCGCTCGTCGTCTTCGCTGCACCGCTGCTTTCGCTCCACTCGTCTTTCGCTGGGTTCCATGGCCCCGCTCGTGCCACCCTGCGCAGCGCGACTCCTCCGAAACGGGACCTCAGATAGAAGAAATGATTCTCATAGTGATGTTCATTGATAATGTATGATCATGTGTTAACTAATGATCGATTCAGGCGCTTGATTTCTCCGTGCAACATATATCATATATCCATACAATAGGTGCGACACAGAACTTCTGCATGTTCCAAAAATAATGTGAGAACACGTGAGAACGATTCTTGAATCGTGTCAAAAATGCTTACAAGGTGCATCACAGCAGGCATTGCACTGAAGAATGGGGGGCTGGCTTACACGATTGCTTGGATCAACAGAGCTGCGGCTCAAAAGCGACGACAAAGGTTTGCAACAAGCGAAATACACAGGCTCTCTTACACAAATGTGTTGTGTATCTTCTTGGCATTGTCACCATTCTACAACAGAAGATAGTCACATAGTCCATTAGTAAATTAGTATCTCAACCACGACATCAAGCGGACCAGCGAAATGGATCCCACGAACTCCTGCACTCGGTCGACGGTGCCTCCGGATCGCCGTAGAGCTGCAGGACTTCAAGGCAAAGATTCTGTCTCTCCTTGCGAAGACATTCTGTACAAGAAGATGTGTACGAGAAGAAGTCGTTCATTTTGTGTTCACGGGTCCTTTTTGGGGTCATCCAAAAGGTCAACAAACGCAACACTCAATCCAGGATTCTCGGGGAGGAATGCAGGCTTGGAGTACAAGTACGAGTAGCAAAAGACTGGAGGTGAACAAACGGCTGATGAACAGTCGTTAAATGATGCAAAACCTGGAAGATCATGAACATCATGAACAGTGCACGCATGAAATGCAGACATCTGACTCCGAACAGTTCTTGGCTTCAACTCCTGCAGCAATGTTGCATGGATGCTTTTTGCATAGAGAACATTAGAGAACTGAACAGGATCTCTCTCGCATGCCCGAAAAACAAAGCCAACAGCTATGTCCCCTCTTCCAAGGCCAACACACAGCCGGCGACCTCTCCTCGTCAGCCGCTTCTGCCTCTGCCGTCATTGGCCTTAGTTCGAAGTGGCCAACCGCTTCGGTCGACGAACAGTCCACCACCACTGCACCCGCATTGGCCGAGCTGCAGACCGGTGGACCGGGTGGACGTGCGTCCAGTCGACTCATCGGTGGACGAGCTTGGAGGTGGGGGCAGGGGACACTTGGGCCGGAGGCCCGAGCGTAAGGGGATCCGTGTTGAAAAAGACGGAAAACCCAAAACCCGCCAAAACGTGATCATCACTGATGAATTTGGTGGCAGGCCCAAAAGAAAAGGGCCACCCCAGCCGCTGGAGCAGCTGGCGGCTTGGAGTTGGGTGATGACAAAAACAGTTTTTCAATCATGTCCACTTTTGCCAGTCAAAGAACGCATCGTTTAATAAACCACCGCGTGGCGCGGTGTTTTGCTGCTTGCTGCATGTGGACATGAGGTTTGACAAAATGAAGCTCAGCATAAAGCCACTTAGCTCAAAGAGCGTGCTTGAGCCACGGAAGAAGAACTATCACACCGTGCTGCGCGGACGTTCGACAGTTGGACCAAGGAAAGCCAACAGCCTTGGCGATATGATTCGCGCCAACTGCTCTTGCCAGTCTGGCCTTAACGAAGCATTGCAGGTGGCTTTGCACATGTTCCTCCAGGCACTATGAGGGTCTTCATGTGAATGTGTCTGTCTTTTCTTCTAAAGTAACTGAATATCGCTGAATATCTCCAAACTAAAAAATCCTGAGCGGAGGACATTGACCACGGCCCATAAGTGAATCATCGAACGCTGCCGCTTTAAGCAAGCGTTCAACGACTCCTGTCATGGAAAAATGAAAAGTCACCATGGCGGGCGACCAATGCCACGTCCTTCCATTGATCATTGATCTCGTCATATCTCGTCTCTCTTGTCCATTACCATCGTGGTCCTGAGCCGCATTAAGATCAGCAGCCGCAGCATTCATCGCCTGGTGCGGTCTTCTCATTGCTGAATCTCGAATGACTAACTGAAGCAAGCAACTCAGTCAGCACCATATTGCCATGACATCCAGAGATCCAACTGAACCAACTCTCTGTCTTGACCCTCCCTCAAAAAAACACCATATGTATACGTGTATGACATGTTTTATTGTGCTTTCGTTGGCCATCTGCAGACCTCTGCAGACCTCTGCAGAGGCGATCCACTCAAGATCAACTCTTCTTTCGGCCTCCAGGTGCCTTTGGATACTGGCAATCTCCTCCTCTTCTTCGGGCTCGGGAAGATCGCTCCTGGACTGAGGTCTGGCATCGGTAGACGAGGACCGAAGCCCAACTCACCAACTCCAGGTGAAGAAAGGTACCAAAAAGGTTACATATAGCATCTTATAGCATCTTGTAGCCCTGAAATGCACTCAAAAGACAAGTCTTCCTCGTGTTTCTTCATGTTTCTTCTCTACAAGCCATTACAAAATATTACAAACTGCTGGCTTTCAGGGTCCGTGTTGCTTTGGGAGTGCAAGTACCCCTTTGTTGCTTTGGATTTTCCCACCAGCCAAATCCTTTCAACGTCGACTCCCTTGCGGTCGCCCACGCTGAACGCAAGAGCACCTCCCGGGCGAAACGAACGTTGGTGCTTCGTCGGATGTGGTCCTCCTCGTCTCACTCCAGGTGCTGCATCGCTCGAGGTTGGGAGAGGGATGAACCGTCAACCTACGTCCGCCGCTGGTGAGGGGGACGGTGTTTGGATGGTCCGACAATGGGTCACACAGTCGACATACAGAGAGAGAAAGGAACCCATGAAGAGGTAGGACCGGATAGGACGATGAACTTGAGACTTGAGGGGTCTTCCAGGAAACGAAGACCAAGGAAAAACGATTCTGGATCCATCCATTCAAAGAGAAATAAACCATAAGAAACCATCATTCAGCATTACGCATTAGAGATCATTAGAGACATCCTTCGAAGCAGGCCAATGGAGCAAATATGACCAAAGGATTACGGATTACCAAAGACTACCAGTTGATCACCAACGAAGTTGTGTAGGACATTTAGGACTATATAGTTTGAAAGGACCGAGTTTGGCCTTTCTGGCTCTTCGGGTGTTTCTGCTTTCCGCTCTTCAAAGCCTTAGATGACAAGTCGATCCTCTGCTTTCTGCGAGCTCAACCAAACACGGATCACGCAGGTACATGGGTTGGGATCAGGAGAATTGATTGAACCCAATGAACAAATATGAATCGACAAATATGAACGCGTGTATACACTCCATGTACAGTGGATCTTGTCCTTTGTTCACATCTTTTCGGACAAGCAGCTGGTCGAGTCACCAGAGATTTGTCGCGCCACCTGGCAAGCGACTCAAGAAGAATCCAACATGAACAGCCAAATGGAGGTCGAAGACAGCCCTGGAAAGACCATTTTTCTCTACCAGCAGAAGTTTTTGATGCATGTTCCACTTCCGTGCTTGTTCCAGGGAGTGTATATATACATATGTCCCATCCTCTTGAGATAAGAGAATGTGTTGGAAAATGAAAAGCCAACGTTTATTTGTCTGGTATTGCTCTATACAGTATCGTCTTTAGATATCTTTAGACCAAAATCCTTCACAAAAGTCTCTTCCAAAAAAGAGCTAAGATCTCCTAATCCCATCAGCTAAGGCTCAGCCCCACCTAAACCATCCGGTCCACATCTTCATCTGTTCATCGAAGTGTTGTGTCCCGTCCTCCGGTGAAGCCTGCAGGTTGGGTGAACTCCCGTAGGCAGAGGAGTTGGAATCGCTCCCGGAGCGGCTTCGCCTCAGCCTGAGCCAAAGGGCTTTAGGATTTAGGCTGGGAGACACAGGTCTTCTTGCTCAGTACAGCCGTTGGTTTTTGATGTTTGGGGTTGAAAGAAGGGTTTCTTGGTTCTTTTTCAGTCTCCAGACCGGGCATGGTAGTGACGCTCGTTTGTTGTTACAAGATATTACAAGCCCTAGTAATGTGCGACAGGAGTAAAGCAAGCCTCCACCAGTACCATGGCAGGCCGTGTCTCGCGTTTGGCACCGCGTGTCACACGCCTGGAGTCCGGCACGAATTGAGCATCAAAGCCTGGCATTTTTGGGGAAGGACAGCGCTTGCCACCGGTGCTGGACTGCTGTCCCTCATTGGGTGCCAAGATGCTGCCATGAGGATGATGAAGAACTCCATGAGGATGAAGAACTGGCCTTAACAAAACTTAAGAAAAGTTGCCCAGTTGCAACCATTTCGAAGCCATCGACTGCTCATTTCAGGTTCCAACGAAAATGGCTCCAGGTCTAAATCATCATCCGAAGCAGTCGCCTCACAAGGCATGATGTCTGTGTCGCATACACACACAAAAAAGCTGTCGCAGCCGCTCCAAAAGCATAGGCATCGCTCAAGCAAACCTGATCATCCTGACTCATGACTCGTTTTTGGGACGTGAAAGCGGAGCTCGTGGAGCGTACCGAGCTGGCTCTGTTCGCGTCTTCCCGGACCGAGCTGGCCTCTTCCAGATGCAAGCGTAACCTTCCACGCCGGCGCGCCACAAAGTTCGAGAGCCTCACGCACCAGCGGCGTGCGAGGCAAATGGTGATCGTTCTGTATGTGATATGAGGTGCCCAGATTTGCCCAGAATTCCCAATGAATAAAACGTTTTGATGTGTTCCGTTTCCTCCACAGGAAGACTCACCCTATCTCACCCTAGGTGGCTACATGATGCTACATGCACCTATGGGTGGATCGATTTCTCGTCTCGCTCAGCAGGCTGTGGGTTACAAAGCTGCTAACTTACAATTCTTCAGATCAAGCTCGATTCCACCACTCTTCTTTACGGTGTGCTGGCAAGGAGACCGTCTGTGTTTTTGGCCCATTCCTCCCCACCTCACATAGACCACCACCGGATCCGCACTCGTGATGGACGAGGCAAAGTCCAATGGCCCAACATGTCTGGCATCGTGCAAGGCGGCATACTCCTCACCTCGCGCCGCTTCGCGCCGTTCGTGCCGTTCCCGCCGTTCCCGACGGACGCGCGACGCTCCCGGCCGACACGGACCGGAGTGCCTGCCGGCGGATCGCCGCGCGAGGGCCTCGGACGCGGACCCGCCGCGGAGACCGGCGCCACGGGCAGGTCCGGATGGAACGGTTCGGTGTGACGTCGGGCTCCGGGCGATAAGGGAGGACTCCTGGAGAGTGCGTCAGCGGACCAAAGGTGCGGAAGTGGCAACCAACTCCAGAGATTCACGGTGTAAAAGGATGTAAAAGGTCAAATAAATGTCACTGCATGTGTACTTAAATTGGGAGCTAGGAGGTTCCCCCCCGACACCTGGGTCGACCCACCTGACAACCTTGAGGCTGCTTGGCCCTTCGGGTTTCCCCTTTTTAGTCGGTCCTTCCAGGAGCAAAGTCCAGACCTTCGTCGCTGAAGCTGCGGCCTTGCGCGGACTCCACGCATCGAAGTGATTTGAAGTGGTCAAAACTGTTCTTTGACAGGTCAACATGGTGTCTACAGCTTGAGAATATGGTCACCAGGTGTCTACATGGTGTCTACATGGTGTCTACTCATCCTGGTAGAACATGCAGGTCAAAACTGTTCGTCTCACTCGCCTTTGCGGTAGATCTGGGGTGAAAAGCCTGCTTGGGGGCTGGCCTCTCGATGGTCCGACCAAAAAGAGTTGTACGTTGCAAAGGACACATTCTGTCTAGATGTGATGCGATAAGTAGAAGTGCAGATAGTACGGCAAAGGCCTCTTCGTAAAGAACCTGGCTGCAGCATTTTGCATGTCCATTGCGTTGAAATATGACTTCAGGCACTGTGTTGCCAACCCTTGTCTCACATTGTTTCCAGCCTCAGCCATGCTTGCTGCCTTGGCTAGGCAAGCAGCAGGCAAGAGAAAGAGTACCACATTGAGAAGCTCCGCGTGGACTCACACAAGGAAGAATACATGTCATGGGAGCCCACAAGCCAAAGGTGTTGCTTGAACTCAGAATTCATGTCCACTCGTCCATCTTTGGTTTCCCACGTTCCTAGTCAAACCATTTCTGCAACCGCGCTACAAATGACCGCGTCTGCCACAACTTGTTGTTGAGCGAAGACCTTGGAAGACAAGGCAAGCAAATGCTAGCAAGCAAAAGCATCCAGAATGTTCCCAAACATCATGCACTTCCACCATTCTATGGCCACCGGCGGGAGGCTCTTTGCATTCAACTCCTAAAGTTCATGTGGCAACTGAAGACAACTGAATGCATCATTAAGGTCACATTGGATTTCACATAAGCCTCCACAGGGCCGCCAGCCCAGGGCCGGGCCCTCCCAGTGGGTTGAAACAGCGACCCAGCCAGCCCACGCTGTCCTTTGAAGGCAGGCCCATCGCGGCAGCGTACCTTTCCACCGCTCGCGATGCCGCGGATTCAGAACCCAGCAGATCGAGTGTCACTTCGGTGGTGGTATCGGTCACGCGAGACGTCTTCTACAGTGGCCAAGACAAAAGAAGTTGTGTTTTTATACTGTAAGTGACTCAAACAAATCACAAAATAACGTCTGCAAAAAAATGAGGTGTCCAATCCTGATCTTCTCATGCACTCGTCACGATTTTTTAGTTTTATGCAGAGTGTATTTCATGAGTGTGTCTGCTTTCGTTCAATAAACACCACGCACGCAGAGACGCACACCGTGCATGGGCACATCGCCGTAGCTGCTTCATTCTCAGCATTGTCTGAGACCTGCCGCCCGCGAAGTCTCCGAAGTCACACGCTAAAACAGACCCGTATGCTGCTGCATATGCATATGCTAGAAATACCTCTCCATTTGGTTGAGACATCAGGACCTGGAGACAACCATCAAAAAGAGTCTGTCAGAGATCCTAAGGCCTAAAAAAGCCCACTAAGAAGCACGTATACCAAAAATTTACTAAACATATATAGTGAACTCCTTGCGGTTGGCAAAACGCTTTTGGTCGGGGCCTCGTAGTCCAAGAGCGGATGCGGCCGACACGCTTCACGGCCCGTCTTCTCTCTCACACCTCAAGACCGGAGTCTCTCTCACACCTCCAAACCGCTCGCGGTGGCCAAGCGCGGCACGGGGCGGGTCGTCGGTTCCGTCGCGAGTGGTTTGGGGTGCCGCAGCATCGGCCATGGGGCTCACATGGCACTGATGATATTAGGAACACATGAGCAAAAGAGATATGGTATAGCGACGTCTGTCTACGTCAGCAAAACGTGGTCAGTGCTAAGGTACACTTTGCTTCTGTAGAATGCAATCAGCTGGCTGATATGTTGCCATTCAAAAACTGCACAACAACATAGATCTGAGTCGATGCTCACAATGAGTTGGTCCAGTTCCCTCAACTCCGTTCTGCGAATCGAAAAGCTGCCGAGCTGTGGTCGTCGCACCGCACCAGCAAACGGTTTGGCAGTGCTTCAGATGGGTGGCTTCACTATGCTGTGCAGCTTTACTTTTCAGAGATGCTTTTCGACATCTAAAATCTTGTCTGCAGCCAGCTGCTCATTGCTTACTTTGGCAAAGTTCCCCTGGCCCGCGACGCTTCGGACGGAGATGCTACCAGCGTGCTAGCGGTGAAAGCCAAAAGTGCCACCAAACGACAAAGCACCTGGTGCTCAGCGATCTCCAACATGTCTGTTCCGGAGGGAGGCTCTAGCAGCAATTGCACCTGAAGGATCATGTGCTGACCCATGTTCACTGCTATCATGTGCTCATCATGTGCATCCAAGTCGCAGGACCGTTGCCATGCACCACCTGCTCACGTTTCTAGATGTCTTGATGTGTCTTGATTCTTTATAATCAATTGACTATTGAAATGGCCTGTTTCCTTAAGTGGCTTTATTAATCACATCAGCACAATCTCTTGAGATCGTTTAGAGATCAAGTAAGATGTCGCGCCTGCGAGGGTCTTGGTGGCTCTGGAGGTCCTTCAAACCCACTCTGGAAGCCTTGCACTTTGGCCAAGTATTCCTGAGCTTCCTGGCAGCACGACTTCAAGTTGATAGCTCGACTTCAACAAAGATAGGACACTGCAGAAATGAATGTATTATGTATACTATTGTATACTCGTGAACGTAATTCAATGGACTCCAACAGGTTTTGACGCCTCCCGGTAATGCCCCTGCATCTTACCAGGCTGATCATAACAAGAAAGCACGACTGGCGCCAAGTCGCCTGATTTTCTTTATCCATAAGCTTCTCCGCACTATTCCCCGCTTCTGGCCAAGCGCATCGGCTGATGTCAAACTTCCCATTTGCTAAATACTACAATTTAGCTAGCAACGACAAGACCTCGCATGCTAATAGATCATGAATAGATACCAAATACATCCAAACACAACCCGATACTAAGCTTGTTGGACTGCATGGCCCTTGAGTTGGCTTGAAAGCTCACACTGGAGCCCCTGTCGATCTCGCAATGAGTCATCGGTGTTCCGCCTTCCAGCTGCTTACTGGGACCATACCAGATCTTTGGACCATCTTCGCCCTCAGATCGCCCGGCCACTTCTGGAGAAGTGCTCTGCCACTCACTCCGAACTCACTCAGATGGACTCAAAATGCACTCCACCAGACCACCAGACCTGGTCTCCGTTTTCGTCTCGACCTGTCGACCTCAGTCCGACTGTGTCCCCGGTCCCACCACTCCGGATTGCGCCATCCGCAGCGGTAGCTCCAATCGCCCCAGTCCTCCAGTCCGGTCGACACCGGTCGATGCGTCGAACCGACCAGTGCTGAGCTGCGAACGCATCCGGGCTCCGGCCCCGACTGCGGCGAACGAGTCGAGGGCGGCCGAGGAATGGACGGGTGGACGGGGAGATGGCCGAGGGGAATGGTGATGGCCTCAGACCTAAGAGAGGTGGCCTCTACCCTAAGAGCGATGGGTGCTGTAAAGATATATTATATAGGGTGATGGTGGAGGTTAAATGAGATCCCCTTCATCTTTATTTACACCTATTGGAGATCCTCCTTCTTGTTTGAGATTTCATTGACTGGCTGACTGGTTGTAGTGTACATTCATGAGTACGGTTCAGTGCGTGGCGCAGTTCATTCATGTTCATTCCATACTTGCAGAGGGGGTGTTTATATGTATTTCATACTCTCTCAAGCGGTACAAGCTTGAGGCCAGCACACCACTCGCCCATCCAAATGGTGGATGCCACTTCCCGTTCTTGTCGACGCTGGCGCCTGGCAACAAAAAAGTCGTGTTTGGGGTCTGGCGGATACAATGCCTTGCCACAAGGCAAAGATCAGCAGCTATTGAACTTGTGCAGTACCATCCTGCAGAGCTATCATGCCCTATCCAATCATAGTCTTGTCGGCTCTGCAAAGGCTTTCAGTCTTCCAAGGCAAACAAAAGGTGCTTCTTTTGGCCATTGTCGGTGGCAGTGGGCTTCTTCCGCCAAGTACCTTAAGTCTCCACCGCAGCGTCAATACTACGAGGTGATTTCAAGGTTATTGAAAAGCAGGTGGCTATCCAAGTTCGTATGGTCTGAGATGGTTTGAGTGCTTGCTGTATGCCCTGATGATGTTTCTAGGCGCGCCACCTGCAGGTACCTTGGATTCACAAGGAGTTGCCAATTGGCAGTGTCCAAAGTCGTATTCACATAAATTATCGCTTTAGAAGCTTTCTAATTATATATATATATATATTGTTCTGTGATGTTCTGTGCATCTCTTCTTTCTTTGCTCTTAAAAACCACCGAACGAAAGCTTTCTCATTGCCCTCTCTTCTGGTACTGGGCCTTTCTGCCAATCAACTCTTATACAAATGATGGAGCCCCGGGCGGCTGATCTCGCGTCTTCTCTCCATCCTACCACAGTGCGACTCATCGGAAGTTAATCTATTTGATGCAAAGCACATCGGAGCTCCCAAAGAAGATCCCCTCACATCATTTCACACACTCCATCACACTCCCATCTCTGAAATTACACCAAACAACACTACAATTCCAGGCTATAGGGAAAAGAACAATAAAACACATCACTCAACTTCTCAGCTGGTTGATCCATGTCGATTTCCGATCTCAACCGGGACGTCGCCTCCAGAGCTCCAAGAGCTCCACGCGGCCGCTCCATCCTGCGGCCGCGACACCGTCCCCCCCTTTCACGCTCGGTGCTCGGTGCGGCTCAGTGCTCGGGTGATCTACCACGCGGTCGGGATCTCGGTCTTGCCGCTTTTATGTTTGTTCAAAAAGCTCTGGCTCGAGTTCTTGCCAGTAGTGGAGCTGCTAGCCACTGAACACTCGAGGGGCGTTTCGACATGTGGTTGGATCGATTGGTCGGTGCCGATGACGTTGGCACCCAGATCTCGGTCGTTTTGATGAAGGATTCGACCGATGGTGAGGTCTGGTGTGGCTTGGCACATGGCCAAAGATTTCGTTTTGGTGGTGGGACCTCATACAAGGTGGGGGATAAGATGACCTTTCATTGCTGGATTGTCACAGGGTTTGGAGTTGATGGGGATGTCCTCTTGAACCCCAGCAGTGATAGTGCCGTTTTCTCATGTGGTCCCGGAACAGCCGATTCACGAACCACTTTGTCATGCTGTAGTGGCCTCGGTGGCATTATTCTTGGAAGCTCCTGGGCTGGCTTTGCTACTCAGGGAATGAATGACATCAGCCCCTTGGCTTCGAAATCGCTTGCGGCCAATTTTGGGCCGGGGGTTGTCACAGGTGACTTGGCCTGTCCTCGAGTCGCCAGGGATTTGCACCAGCTGTGTGAGGGAATTTCGCCAATCCTGGAGGCTGGCTTCCCATGTCAGCCTTACAGTGTTTTAGGTGATCGTCGAGGATCCGCTGACGAGAGGGCCGCGGTCCTCACCTCCATTCTTAGGTTGGGATGGCTGACCCAATGCGGGGGAGTAGTACTTGAGTGCGTTCCAGGAGCTAGTGCCGATCAGTGGGTTCGTTCGACTTTGTCAGCATTCGCCACCAAGATGGGGTTCCAGACCTCGGATGGCATCCTCCATTTAGAACGATTCTGGCCTTCCAGGCGTTCTCGCTGGTGGTGGGTTGCAACACCATCAGCATGGAAGTCGATTGAGATCCATGATCTCCCAAGAAGCGGCTGGCAGAAGCTTAGTGACATCCTCAAAGAGTGGCCTGTTTGGGATGTCGAGACGGAATCCTCCCTTCAATGGACACAGGACGAGTTGAAGTACTTTCGTGATGTTCGCTTTGGGCCTGACTCCCGCAGGCTCAACATGTCAGGGCAAGCTCCGACGGCATTGCACTCCATTGGTGCGCACTTTCGCGCCTGTCCATGTGGCTGCAGAGGTGGAAAATTTTCAGATGCTCGTCTTGCACAGGGAGGATTGCACAGCATCGAGATCCGCTCAGCACGTGACCCGACAGTTGCTCGACACCCTCACCCGCAAGAGCTCGGCTTCTTGCAAGGCATCGATTTGCGCTACCGATATCAGGATCCTCCTGTTGACCAACTCTGCCTCATAGGCCAGGTAGCATCTCCGTTCCAGTCAGCTTGGATCTTCCTACTTGTTGCCCAATCGATGCCCGACTCCGATATGATCGACCCCGAGGGTTTTCTCTTGCTACTTGGACATGAACTTGTTGCACAGTCTCAGGAGAGATGGCTTTTCCCTTCTGATCTTGGCCGGTTTGAAGTCCAGGTTGATTCGCTTGAGGGTGCACCCATCCGCTTCTTTACCACTCAGTTTTCCACAGCTTTTGATTTTGCTTCTGCGCAGGCTAAGCTCGAAAAGGCAGCTGACATCCAAGTGTGGCGAAGTGGGAGGATTGCCTCCCCAGATGCCCTCCTTAAGGCTGGAAACTTCTTCAGTGTCTCCGACCCTGCAGCATCCGACCAACAGGACATCGAGGTTGTGCTCCATTGGAGGGGACGCCAGACCACCATCAGGTGTCGTGCAGGTTCATACGTCTTTGAGATACTTGGTCGTGCCGGCATCAGCGAGGAGGTTGTCGTTTTTCGCCATGCTTCTGACGAACGCCTTCCAGGCGATCAGCCGATTTGGGAATCCAGCACTTTTGAGATTGGCACTTTGCTGCGTGGTGGAGGTGGCCCTACTCTCACTGCTTTACAGCACATCCTCAAGAGCCCGGATATGCAGCGCTGGCATTCTGAAAGAAGGGCAGATGGTCAGATCCAAGCAGGATTCGATGCCGGCCTAGATGATGTTACCGTCACCTATGCTGCTCGTGAGTTGATCTTGTTGTCTGGCATCACCAATGTTCATTTTGTTTCGCCTCGCACAGTGACATCATGGTTGGAACAAGGAGCTGACTCCGAAGTAGATCTTGTAGGAAAGGAATTGTCAACTTTTGATGGCACCCGGGTCATTGCCCTGATCGGACGCAAGAATCACTGGGTCCTGTTAGATTATGAGCTCTTTGACAATGGTGCTGAATGCACTTTGATCGATGGTTATGAAGAAGCACCAGACAAAGAGTTTGCGTGGGTTGGCAACCTCATCCATGAGTTTTTCGGCAGTGGCCCTTTGTCCCAGGTTCGAGCGCGATGTTTTGATCAAAAGGACACAACATCATGTGGTGCCATTGCCCTTCTTCATTTGGGATGGAGGCTGTGCATGTGGACTTCTTTTACTTCGGCTGAAGTAGCCAGTTGGTACTCTCTGCTCCGCTGGGGTGTCGCCGCGCCTAGGTTCCATGGTGGAGGACGCAGTGAGGTTCAAACTGCAGTTGGAGAGTGGCTGTCGCCATTTCTTATTGCCAAAGGTGTTCCTGCGAGCGCTGTTGATGATCGCATTGCCCAGGCTGTCAGGATTTTTGGTGTTGACCGCCTTGCTGCTGCGGCCAAATCTCGGAACCCTTGGGCCTCATTGAAGAGCCTAGGTAATAGTCAAAGCCGCCCTTTCCTTTGGGTCAAGTATGAGGAACTTCGTTCACACATTGAGGCTCGAGGGAAGGAGCAATGGGGAGCGAGCATTGATATTCCCAAACGGAAAGGCAGAGGCCAGACTCGAAAGAATGAGCCAGCTCTTGACACACTCGTTGACCCTGGGAAGCTCATCCTTGTCAAAGGTGTCCTGCAAGGTGGTGGTCATGAGATCGGGCAACTTGCTTTGTCAGAAGTGCGATCAGGAGCCATTGGGGCAGCTTTTTGTAGACCTGACGACGCCACGCATTTTTTGCAAGAGAGAAAGTCTTTGAGCGTTGGCCCCCTGGCACTCCTCATCATTGGAAGTGAACACATTGATGATAATCGCGTCCATGCTTTGACTGTGCCGGCTCGGTACGCCCCTTCCGGAGCTCCAGTTCTTGTTCAATGCAGGGCATTGCAACTTGGCGATGTCAAGATCGAAGAAGCTGGAGGCCCTGCGCCTGAGGTTGGCGTGCTCCCGACAAAGGTCGTCCGGATCCAGATTTTCCGTGATGAGTTTGATGGTGATTGGGAGGCTTTCACGAAGAAACCAGTTCGTGCTTTGATCGATCGACTTGAGCCTTTGCAGTTGTGTCGTGAGGCTGGTTGCACATCCTCGTGTCACAAATACCACCCGACCGTAGAGGAGAACGGTGTCGAGAGCGCTGTAGTTGATCTTTGGGGCAATCGTTGGGCATCACACGAAGGCAAGCGAGGTGAAGCCAGCGAGGCTGATGTTTTTTCTCTCTTTGTTAGGATTCCTGAATCAGGCTTCAATGGTTTGCACAAAGCTTCCGGCCAGGGTGGCATTTACATTGAGCCTAGGCTCACTGATGGTGCTGGGACTGATGGCGCTTACGCAGTCATCTGGCTTGGCCATCTCTCCGGCCAACAGGTCAGGCACATCGTCAAGACCGAAGAGAAGGCTATTGCGACCACCAGACTTGGCAAGAGGTTTGGCATCCGTGTGCGTGAAGCCAATGCTAGTGAAGTCCATGCCAGGGTTTGCCCTACCAAGCCGTTTCTGCAGGGGAATGTTTCGCTTGTTTTTAGGGTTGAGCCATTGCCACAAGGTTCGCACCGACAAGGGCTTCAAGATGCCTTTCGCAAGCATGGGTGGGAAACCAAACCACTCCATCCAATCCGAGGCACAGGCAGCAAAGCCTGGGAGATCGGAGCTCGCAAAGAGCCACCATCCGAAGTCTTGAAGCTTGCAAGTGGATTTGTCACAGTCTCTTTGCTGAGATCCTCTGAGCACACCAAAAAGCCCCCTGCCCTGATTGCAAGCGGTAAAACTGTTCAGCAGATCAAAAGCGACGCAGTCTCTTCAAAGGACAACGCTTGGGGCAGTGATCTCAGCACAAGCGGTGACCCTTGGGCCAAGTGGCTGTCATCCCAGGTACCGTCATCTAGTGACGCCCATGGAGCTGTCAACACCAAGATCCAGGAAGTTGAAAACCGGGTGCGTGAACAGGTTGAGAGCAGCCTGAAAGCCCACATTGGTGACCTAGTGCAGAAGGATGAAGATATGACAAGCCGAGGGGCTGATGATGAGCGACTGACCCGGCTTGAAGATGAAATCGTTGAGCTGCGGGAGCAAGGTGCCCGATTTGAAGAGTGGTTCCAACAGGCAGGTGCGGTTGCAAAGGAGCAGCAGGCCAGATGGGATCATTTCGACCAGCAGTTGCAAAGCCAGGCTGACTTTGGCAATAAGCTTGCGCAGTCCCTTGAGACCTGTGTAGCCAGAGTTGCTCAACAGAACGATGTCATCCAGGGGGTTTCCAATGAAGTCGGGGGACTGAGGTCACAGCTCGACAAATCCTTGGACCAGTACTTTCAGAAGCAGGCAGCGCAAATCGAGGCACTCCTTGGCAATGACACCAGGAATGCCAAGATTGCCAGGACAAGTTCTTGACTAGGACAGCCTGGGCCCTCCAGAGGCCGAGGAGGGAAGCCAGGTAGTCTTCTGTGGCCGATGAGATGGCTCTTCATCCTTTGGGTCATGCTCTTTCGAGTTGGGGAGGCCTCACTGCCAGGACCTCCTGTCAAAGTGGGAAAGTGTGCAGGTGGGAAGCCTTTGCCGGGTTCTTCTTCGTCAGCGCGGCCCTCAAGGGGGACTGCGATTTCCGGTCGGGGTGACTCACTTGCCAGCATCCCATGTGATGATGATGGTGCACCACGCGATGAAGGTGCTTGTATGATTGATGAGGGACTTAATGC